AAGATGCTCACTCTCTGTCTTACTATACACGAGAATATCATCAAAACAAACGACCACAAAAGATCCAAGGAAAGGTTTTAACAGCTGGTTCATGAGTTGAGAGAAAGTTCTAGGAGTGTTGGATAAACCAAAAGGCATGACCAGCCACTCGTAGAGACCAACTTTAGTTTTAAATGTTGTCTTCCATTCATCACCAGGGCGAATACGGATCTGATGATACCCGCTTCGTAGGTCGAGTTTAGAAAACACCTTGGACCCTTCCAACATGTCTAACATGTCATCTAATCGGGGAATTGGAAATCTATAAGCCACCGTTATCTTGTTGATGGCCCTGCTATCAACACACATTCGCCAACTACCATCTTTCTTTGGAACCAACAGAGCGGGGACTGCAGAAGGACTCATGCTCTCGCGAATGATACCCTTTTTCAATAAATCTTCAACCTGTTCTTGTAGTATTTGGTTCTCCTTTGGGCTCATGCGATAGTGTGCTAGGTTGGGTAACTTAGATCCCGGAATGAAATCAATTTGGTGTTGAATATCACGCATGGGTGGAAGTGTTGCTGGTAATTCACTGGGAATAAGGGACTTAAACTTCGATAGGATAGGTGTTAATTTGGCAGAAATGTTATTTTCGGCCCCCTCTTAGATAGAACCTGTAGCAACAATAGCATAAATAACAGATTCCCCATTTATCTCTTCTTCAAAATCTCGATGAGATAACACCACCAGGCTATTTTTCTTCACGTCGTGATGAAGGGTCGCGGGTTTACTAGATTCTATCAAAGGGACTAAAATCATCTTTACTCCATTAACCTTAAAGGAGTATGTGTTTTCCTTGCCCTTGTGTATCATATCCTTATCAAATTCCCAAGGTCGTCCAAGCAGAATATGACATGCATCCATATCCACAACATCAAACCACAATTCATCTTTATATTTGCCAATAGAAAAGGGATTTTACATTGATCAGTGACGCGTATCTCTCCAATTGATTTGATACATCTTATTTTGTATGGGTGTGGATGCCTTTTGGTAGGTAGTTTGAGTTGTTGCACGATTATTCGAGAAACAATATTCTCTGTACTCCCACTATCAATAATAACGTCAAATATCTTATGATGAACTACACAACGAGTCCGAAATAGATTATGGCGTTGCGAGGGTTCTTCAGTTACTTTAGGTGCAAGCATAATTCGCCGGATGATACATGATTTAGCAGTGTCATCGTCACAAAAAGTCTCGTCAGCTGCAAAACAAATCTCAACTTCTTCATTGTCACCCTTCTCACTAACAACTTCATCATCAACTTCTCCTTCTTCTCTTGTGGTAAGGTTAACTTTGGTCGCTGCTCCTCTGCAATCGCTAGATCGATGACCCGAGATGCCACATTTAAAACATTTCCCTGGTATGGGTCGTGCGTAAGGGTTGGTGGATTTCAGGGTGGTAGTAGCGGTAGAGGTGACGCCTTTACCCTTGTCGGGTGCTGGTGTTTTTGTAACCACTTGGCTGTTTTCTGTTGGCTGTGATGTTGACCCACTGGTGAATTTATTTCAATTAGCAAGGAATGAAAAGGTTTTACTACTCTTTGCCAATTGTGTTTCAGCTCGGATAGCTAGATTATACGCATCATTCAATGTATATACGGGTATTAGGGATATTATATCTTGAATCGTGGGGCGTAATCCGTTAGTATAACGCGAGACCTGTTGTGATTCGGTTTCTGTGAGGTCATTCCTAGCGGCTAATCGATGGAATTCGGTGGTGTAAACCTCCACTGATCGGTCTCCTTGCGTGCAATTTTGAAACATGTTGAATAAAATTTGATCATGATTAGGGGGTAAGAACTTGCGCTTTAGTTCACGTTCCATTCGATCCCAAGAATTAATAGGTAATTTACCTTGTCGTTCTCGCGTGGTCCACTAAGCCTAAGCTCCTCCTTTGAGTTTGTAAGCCACGAGAGTGACCCGTTTATTTCCCGGGATATCATAGAATTGAAAAAAATTCTCCAGCTCATTCATCCAGTCTAGGAAGCCCTCGATGTTCATGGATCCGCTGAAAGAGGGTACATCTTTTGCTCTTTGACGGTAATCGAAATCATGTGCATCCCTACGTAGACCCGGACGCCCTCTCGCACCTTCATCATCGTCATCTTCTTCTAGATCGGAGTCTTCCCTGTTCCGTGCTTGTTCCTGCATCCGTAGTTGATCATAAGCATTGTTGATTGGAGGAGGTCGCTGAATGGGTTGCTGGTTGCGAATGAACTGTACGAGCGGTGGTTGGTTATTGCGATTGAGTGCTTCCTGGTTTGCTTGCTCCCTACGATTCTGATTGTTGTTGGTTGTAAGAAGTGCTAAACTTTCTGTAATTTGTTGCAAGGATTGTTGGTGGCTTTGGACGGTTTGTTCGATCTTGACGATTCGTCCAGAATCGGTTTCTTCGCCCGCCATGGATGCTGGGCTCTGATACCACCGGATGTAGTCTGTGACTACAGGGATAGGCAATTTAACTAGGCGTATTGTCAAACGCAGAGAACAGGGGCACTATCGTGTGCCTGACGACCAAGAATTGAGAAAATGATCTCGACTCTTTATTTCAAAACAATAACGAAGTCAGAATATAACCACATCAAAACCTCATGTACGTTTTTGACCCTGTACTTATAGTTAAACAATACCAATCCTAATACAACTAGAAAACCTTAACAATACCAATCCTAATACTAATGAGATAAATACTAAATAAGAAACAAAATAAGCTAAACTTGGGCTTTACTCCTCCTTGAGTATAATGTCGGTTAGGGGTAAATTAGGAAAATCTATCACTATATTGTATCAATGCATCTGAAACCTACATACTTTGGCTTCCCGTTGATGTACTTCCTTCTTGGAAACTTCGTGAACAACCCACCATGGTATAATGCAATGGAAAAAACTGTTGGATGACCGGATGTTGAGGAAAAAACTACAACCAAGTATTAAGTTAATGGATAAGGTTTTAGGAAATTCAAAGAAATATAGTGTATCTACTAGGGATGAGGTATAAAACCGAAAAATCGGGCCAGAATTGGAATCAGACCGAAACCGGAACCGGTATAACGGGAATATGCTAAACCGGTCTGGGTTTTGGGTCTAAATATTTTCCTCATCTGGGTTCCAGGTATTTTGGGTATGGGTAAACGGGTCCGGGTATTCCGGGTTTTAGTATCGGATTTGAAAGAGGAACCAAGAATCGGGTATTCCAGGTTTTAGAGCAAGATGTGAAATAGAGAACTGGAACGGGGTTAATGTCTTTGAACTTTAATCATGTTTTTTTAGTAATTGTTTTTGGATAGATGAAACTTTTCACATATTGTCTTCACGTCATAACATATATTAAGTTCAAACCGGTTCCATAACTACTAAATTAATTCTTTCAAAACATGGAAAATGGATATATATTACTTGGTATCAATTTGAAAACATAAGTTATATTAAGTCCTATAATTAATTATATTATGAACCCAAAATGTTGTATTTTCTTTTTTGCTCCATAAGTCCGAGCGAATCAAACAATGGATTAAACTTAGTGGATAAAACTTGTTATATTACTTTCTTGTCAAATACAACATTATATATGCAAACCGTCATTGAATGAACACTTTGAGCAAAAAAAAAAAAAATAGTCAAATTTAAGGGTTTCTGGTTCCAAACTTCCGGGTTTCCGGTTCCATTTCTGGTTTTCCGGGTCTAATACATGATTCCGGTTCTAATTTTCAGTTTCTGGTTCCAACCGGTTCCATACCCACTTTACTCGGTCCGGTACCCGAAATCGAACCGGTACCGATTCCTATATACCGGTCCGGTTCTCGGGTCTTATAATCCATTAAATCCAGTTTCTAGGTTTTCCGGGTCCGAGTCCGGGGTCCAACGGTCCGAGTTTGGACCCACTTTCATCCCTAGTATCTACGACCAACGTCAATTTCTGCCATTGTCGTTAAGTAACAATTATAGTTTCTATAGGTTTAAGGGGTTGAATTTAGGGTTTTCTTGTTTGAATGTGTGTGATGGCTTTTTTTTTGTAGCTGATTATGTGTAATACACACTTGTTTCACTATACTATTATAGTCAAACTAGAAGTAATAGGCTCTAAAAGAGAAAAAAACAAAAATACCCTTGTGTGCCTTGCACGTAGGGGGTTTTAAACGGTTAAATTAGACAAAAACGTAGTAGTTAAACGTGTAACAAAAATATATGTCGAATATAGTCCGAACTAATAAAAAAAAAAAGATAAGTACCAAACACACATGCTATCCAAAACCAGAAGGACTATCATGTAATTTACTCTATCTTTTTTTTTTTCTCGGTTGTAATACTGTAACAGTAGTGAAAAACTACAATACAGAAATTGCGGATCCGTATACATTAGAATCTCGGGTGGAGTCGGATGCCATCTCGAATCAATCACCCCTTCCGTCTTCCGATTCTCTTGACTTTGTTTTTCAATCAAATCCCAAATTCCGTGTTATTGTGTAGACTCTCTCTCTCTCTCTCTCTCTCTCTCAACAATCACAAACCCTAATTTCGATCCATTTCCCCATCTACAGAGGTAATTGATTACTTGTTTCCATTCATCTGTCTCGCTTTTATATGCTCTCTTATATAATTCTGCTCTCTATAACGATTAATGTTAAATTTTGTGTAGTCCTTGATGATCTATGCCTAAATTAGTCGACTTGTTATTCAATTCGTAAACATATCAGATTCAATTTACTCAGTTGTCGATATTAGTTTAGTTTTTGCCTTCTCCTTTTGTTGAATTGCGATTTGCTTTTTCATTCCGGAATCAATATGTTGCTTCTTCTTAATCATCTAGTAGATTCCAAATCAAACAAACACGTTAAGCTGTGTAGCATCTCTATAATTTAATAATTTCATACAGTTCATCAAATTTGTAAATACTAACACGAAAAGTAAAATTCCCAGGGGTACTTTAGTCAATGTGCACACACAGTTTCAAAAATGTCGAGTAATATCAGCGAATCAACAAGGAAGCCACAAGAAACTCCATCATCAAACACAACCACAAACGATGCTGGTGATTTCGAATGCAATATTTGCTTTGAATTAGCTGAAGATCCAATCGTCACCTTATGTGGTCATCTCTTTTGTTGGCCATGTCTATACAAATGGCTTCACATTCACTCACGTTCACAAGAATGTCCAGTATGCAAAGCCCTAATTCAACAAGACAAATTAGTCCCTTTATACGGAAGAGGAAAAACCCAAACTGACCCTCGGTCAAAACCCCTGCCCGAATTCGAAATCCCACATAGACCATCTGGTCAGCGACCTGAAACTGCCCCACCTGCCCAAGATAATGCTACAAACTTCCCGAATTTCGGATTTGGAGGATTTGTTCCAATGGCTTCTGCAAGATTTGGGAATTTTGCTATGTCTTCAGGAATCGGAGGTTTGTTTCCTTCTTTACTTGATATGCAAGTTCATGGGTTTCAGAATCCTTTACAATATGGGCCTATTAGACATGGATATGGGCCTAGGTTTTCGAGTGGGTTTCATGGTGGACATCATGTTCATGAGATTTTTCATTCGAGGAGAGGGAATCAAGAGTATAATCTTTTGAAGACGTTGCTTTTGATGATTGGGATCTTTATTGTTCTTGTGATGATCTTGTAAAGTGATGGATTTGATCTTGAAGTTAGAGAAGGTTGTTAGTGTTGTGTTCATATAATAATAATTAATAACTTTGTAATTGCGCTATATAATATGATTCTATATCGTGTAAAAGATATAGAATGGTTATATGTTCTTTTCGTTTATGAATTATGAATTGTGTAGTTGAACGATAAAGATTCTATAAAATGCAATTACAATTTCTATCATGTTTGATTTTCTTATCTTTGTCTATCATTTGTATCACCTCATATGTGAAAAAGACGTGAATGCCCATATCATAATCAAAACAGCTCAATTTTTTTTGTCACACTTGAAAAGATCGGATAACAACTCGCTCTTGGTATGTGGAAAAGACGTAAATGTCCTTCCTTGTCATCAAAATATCCTTAATTTTTTTCCGATTCAAAAACTTGCTCTCGATATGTGCAAAAGACACGAATGCCTTCTTTTCTTCAATTTAACCTTAATTTTCTTTTTCACTCAAAAAAGATCAGACAACTCGCTTTTGATCTGTGCAAAAGACGTGAATGCCCTTTCTTGTAATCAATATAACCTTAATTTTTTATTTTTCACTCAAAAAGCTCGGACAACAACTCACTACAATATGTGCAAAAGACGTGAATGCCCTTGTCATGAATATAGACTTAACTTTTTATTTTTTTTCACTCAAAAAGATCAGACAACACGCTCTCGATATGTATAAAAGACGTAAATACCCTCCTCATCATAAAAATAGCCCTAATTTTTTGTCCCACTTAGAAAAGATCGGACAACAACTCGCTCTCAAGATATACAAAAGACGAGAATACCCTTGTCATCAAAATAGCCTTAATATTTTTCCTACTCAAAGGTTGGGAGATAGATTTGTTCTCCATATGTGCAAAAGACATGATTACTCTCCACATTCTTATCCTCAAAGCGTTAGAAAGTTTGTACAATAGTCTTGTACTATAAACACAACAAAAAAAAATAAAAACATATACATGCTTCTTCATTTATATTCTTTCTTTTTCCCTATACATATATATAAATGTATGTAAACAATTCTATAATTCCACCATCTAATAAATTTTTTTTTTTTTTTTTTATATTTCTTTAAACTAACAGGGAAATCTTCCGGTAAGTCGAATATGATCAAGAGTGCTTCTAAGCCCATATTTAAGCACGGATTTATTCCCTTCTCTAAACCCATCACCATAAGCTGCTGAGGTGTCCGTTTCAATTTGGTGTTTAAAAAACTCACCAAGTTGCTTCTCAAAATCAGACCTTTTTCCTTTTTTTGATGACGTGGCAACAGTTGCAGATGAAGAAGATGATGACGCGGAACTGGAAGCAATATTTGAGCTACCAGAACCAGCCATAATCTCTGAATCCAACCACATGTGAGCTAAAACTTGACAGATTCCTTCTTCAACGTTAGGTGGAATGTTAGAGAACCCTGTTAAATTCCAATTTTACCCTCCATGGGAAAATAACCCAAAACAAATCGATTTTTTCATTATCCTCGTAGAAAACATGAAAAAAAAAAAAAAAACGAACCTTTCAGCCGGAGCCATGCGTGCATCATTTCGTGAGCCAATATTGAACCGGTCAATAACCTGAATTTATGAAGTCTTTTTTTGTTATAACTCATATAATAAAAAACTAACTATTTACAACTTTCGTCTCTGTAGACTTTAAAAAGTTACGGTTCTAGTCCGGATGTTTGATTTGTTGCAAATACAGTTCCTAAAACGTAGTCTTATTGCACCATAGCATGTTTCGTCCATCCTTTAAAATCCCCTTTTAATGACCAGGGAGTAATCATGCAATGAAACTACATTTAAGGGACCATTCTTGCAACAAGTCAAAATATCTGGACTGAATTCGTATCTTTTTAAAGATCTTAGGGACGAAAGTTGTAGTTTAGTCTATGATAAAAAAAAAATGAAATATCCAAAATATTTTGGGTTAGTTTATGGTTTAATCCTAACATTTAGTTTTTGAACAGAAAAATCCTGATTATCTAATTTTATACAACAAATTTTGTTGAAAAAAGAGAAAAACTTTTTCTTTAACTTGGGCAAAATATAATAAAATCGGGACTTTTCTGTTCAAAAAATATAAGTTGGGATTAAACCGTAAACTTACCAAAATATTGGGACTTTATCAGAGATTTCCCAAAAAAAAAACGAGCATAAATTAAATTGTTGATCATTGAGTTTGTCCCAAGATTAAATAGTTTCCTCTTGCCAATCGTTGTAACGCAAGAGAAAACTATTAAAAGTACAATCTTTGAACAAACTTAGGGATCAAAGTAGTTATAGACACCAAAATTGTAAGAGAAAAGCATTTCGGATTAAACGTCTAAACCTACAGTTTTTAAACAAAATCAAGGACCAAAGTGTAATTTACTGAAAAAGAATGAGGAATTAATTACCTAGGAAGACTGTATAAGATGAGAATGGCTGTGACTTCACATCGACGAATTAGCTTATAAGGTTCTGTAAACATGTCAATTAAACGTCCTGCCCCAACTCTTGGTCGTTTTGTTATCTGTATTTTTAGTAAATTAATTAAAAATAAAACAGAAAATGAAAAAAATAATAATAATAAAAATAGTTAGTGTTGATGTTCATACAGTGCTGATAGTTTGTTCCTCTGATAGACAGAGTCCTCTAGTTTCGGGCATGTGATGATGACCCTGCCATCAAATAAGGATTAAATATATAAAATATAAAAAATGACATTGAAAACGAAAATTATACACGATGTATTATTTTAGTTCTACACTATAGATGAATGTATTATAATTAATGAATTTTTTATTTACAAATATAAAAATTAAACATAAGAAAAAATTATTAAAACCAAATAGTTTTATAGAAACGTTTTGGAAATTAAATTGTAACTCTTAAAAAAAATCATTTTGAAGTTACATGAATAATTAAAATTATATTGCATTTTTTCGTTTGAAAAAAAAATGAAAAGTAATAAAATGGGATGGATTTGTTTTGTTGGATTTGCACAAAATGATGGGAGTAATGGCCATAATAAAGAAGGTAATGGAATGAGTCATTACATTCCATGATCATTCAGGAATGTAATAAATTTTCGTACGAATCGTCCATTTTGTTTCATCGACAAAACAAATTGTTTTTTCATTCCATTCCCAACTTGATTCCATTCATTCCTTCTCAATTCCGACGGAATCACCAATTCCATTCCTTCTCAATTTCGTTATACCAAACAAGACCTAAAAAACTACATACAAAATTCACTCACATTTTTTTCGCCTTCCATTGCTTCATTTAGAGCTTGTCTTTCAACCAACAACAATGGAACTTGTTGCTCAATTTTCATGTTCAATCCTTCATAAAAATCTTGGATTTCAAGATAAAGTGGTTGGCATTCATGAGTATCCATTATAGCGGAATCAAGGCACTCCAAGCATAGCTTCCTACCATCATCTAATAACAAATATTTCGTGTCTCTTGTCTCCATTCTTTCACAACTACAACATCGAGGAGTCCTATCATGCTCATGTGATGGACAATACTTTTGTGCCCAAAAAGGATGCGCCCTATATTCAATCAATCCATTTCCATTCGTTGGAATCTACACAAATAGTTGAAATTTGTAAGTTTATCTGATGTAATAGAATGACTAAAGAACGGAATTGAAAAGGTTATGAAATGAGTCATTATATTATTGATCATGTTTTATTGGTTTGTTGGAACGAAATGAATTTATGTATGATTTTCTATATTAATACAATGTACAATTATAAATTTGTTATATATTATTTTAGTATAGGTACCCGAATTTTATTTAGTTACAAAAAACAAACAAAATTAAAGATGGATAAGAGGTCTAGTTGTATAAAAGAAAGATCTTGAAACAAACTTACAAAGTTTTTGCATACGTCACATCTTGGGTGATGGTGTTCTTTATAGCATGATCGGTGAAATGGCCGGTTTTCAGACATGGAGAACTGTATAAAAACATTTCAATTTAACTTGTAATGTTAAATTAATAATGGATTATTATTTTTATTTTTATTTTTTTGTTTAGGGTATAGAGTTGGACCTCATAATCAGATATTGGTAGATTGCAAGCATGACAACAAAAACATTCGGGATGCCAAACTCCTCCCATGCAACTTAAGAATCTCTCATTGCCGATTTCTACATTGCAACCAGCACATATCCTGTAATTTAGGGGTATGAAATGAAATTCAATAATAAAAAGTAAATGCAATATTTTCAATATTTTTATTTATATCTAGATACAATTTGTTTATGGATTTCATCATTCCTACAAAGGTACAAAAGGTACGTAGGAATTAAATTCTATTTTTTGATTTTTATTAAAAAACCAAATATTCTTATTATGTACATTGAAATAAATAAATTAAATAGAGTCATCTATATAAATTAATAAAATATTAAAATTATTTAATAAAAAAAAGTTAAGTCCATTTCATTTCATTTATATAGTTTGCCAAATCTGCACGTGAAGAATTATGATTTCTAATTTCTTCATACCTGAATTTCTTTGACATATATATTTCATTCATTTAAAAAAAAAAAATTACGAAACAAATGCTTGCAATCGAATTCTTTCCAAAATCACATTATGATAGATGAAATCCATCACACGTGGAGTTTAAAGGATTCCAACGGAATTAAATTATTCTTGGAATGGAATTACAATTCCGATTCCGTTAGAATCCATAAGATTCTCAACTAAACAAGCACTCATTCGTTTGTTTGTTAATTGGAGTGACATGAACATAACAATTATGATTAATAACACGATGAGTTCTCCATATACCTGTATCCACCGGAATAGGAGTACGACAAAGGCGGAATCACGTTTCCATAATCATTCTGTGGTGGTGAAATATCCACATTCAAACTTTCTTCAAGAGCCTTGGCAAGCTCTTCATCTTCCTCTATATGAGAATCATCATCATCATCATCATCATCATCATCATCATCATCATCATCTAACAAAATCAACATTGGAGTCCATAAATACATTATTCTTTCTTGAATTATTAAAATTAAAGACATTGTTACTCACCAATTACTTTTTTTCCTTTATCTTCTTCGGAATCGGAATCTGATTCCGATTCCGTTCCATCTTCTTCTAGACAAGAACCCGCTTGTTTTTCATCGTCTTCTTCACATGAAATTGATCCATGGTCATCACCATCACCATCACCATCCTCCTCCTCCTCCTCCTCATCATCATCATCATCATCATCATCATCATCATCATCATCATCATCATCATCATCATGTTCATTGCTATCTTCTTCTGCAAAAGAAATGGTGCTTTTTGCATCTTCTTCTAAAAGGGAAAGTGCAATTGCTCGATCAATTTCTTCACTATCAAAGTCCGATAATATCTCCTACATCATAAAAACAGCCAAATAATGAATACTACACATAAAATCAAAGAAAACAGGGGAATGGAATCACTGATTACCATGGTTGTTGGATTAGACTCCAATATTCCTTCTTCATCTCCATATCTTCCATGGTGTTTCCCTGAGATTTTATCACTCAAACCAAACCCCCTAAGAATCTTTGCCAAACAACCCATCACACAAAACTTGGGACTCTTTTTTTCTGCATTCCATAAAGCTCAAAATTATACATAAACACACATTTAATAAAATACCCAATTACAAGAAATTAACAATTTTGAATTACCCGATTAGTAGAAGTTAATTGATCAGAAGGAAATTTTATTTCAATGAATAAGCTATACAAATAATTGTATGAACACCTCAATCACAGCAAAGCAATGGCGTAAATATTCAATTGAAGCAAAAGAAAATTGTAATTAATAATCCATATTTGATTTCAACTTCCACCAACAAAAAATTTAAATAAAAAAATAAGAATCTTCCAGCTAGACTTTGTCTGTTTTCCGACATCAAATTCATAATCAATAAAAATAATTGAAAATCTCACCTTCAAAAACTCTGATGAAACCATGGATGATCAAACGAACCCAGTTCGATTATAAACATAATCACGAAAAGAGATTAAACATCAATATCATAATCCAAATTCGTGAGTTCCCACATTCCATTTATACCCCCGACACCTGCTGAAAACAACATCACAGATGATTAAAATCACGAATTTGCAGGTGAAGAAGAAAGAGAAAGATCAGAGTAAAGAAGACGACAATGATTGGAACTACTTAAAGCCTACGCTAAGCAAAAGGGAACAGAGTAGAATCATGAAAACAGTTTGAAAAATTCAAACTTTTAATCATAAATAAATCATCATAATTCGAAAGAGTAGAATCAAAATCGGCAAATGGGGGTTGAAATTTACCAGTTTGTGTCAGTTCTTGATGTGGGACCTTTTTGCCCCCAAATATGTCTATGATTAGGCCATTACAGGTCAAAATTTTGATTGGAATTGCCTACTATTTTTCATCCATTGATGACAGAGGGGAAGAAGATAAAATATGGGGTTTGTCTATTCTTTGACTAATTTGGGAGACATAAGCATAATTTTGTGATTAATTATTGTTAATAAGTATTGGATTTATTGATAAAGATATATAAGAAAATTATAAAAGGAATGAGCTTTTTTTGTGGTGGGTTAGTGGGTCGGTGAGTATGATCCCTTTTAGATGGGAGAGGCTACTGAAAAAGTCACTTGCACGCATGCATTTCACCTTTTGTTGCACTAATGTTTTTCTCATATATATTTAAATTGAATAAATTGTAAGAAATAGTATAAATTAAACAAATTGCCTTTGTGTTTGAGGTTAATTGTGTCTTGGTGATTAACTATTTTTTTAACTCGGACCATTTTACACATATTTTTTTACGCATTCGATTCTTGCATTATGTCGTCATTTGTTTTCTTTCGGTTAAAACGTCTCACGTGTCTTGCATTGGTAATTTTGTCTTTTTTTTTTAAAGTCCGCACACCTTTGGTCATATTCCATTGTCATCCTTTTTGTTTCACCTTCATTTCGTCATCTATGTGAATGGTCCCTGTAGTTCTGCGCACCTGATCTCTTTTTCTTTTAACACTGCCGGTCCCTAAGTTGTAACATTGTTGCGTGTTTGGTCCATGTCCAACCTAAAAAATACTATTTTACCTTGATGTGTTTTTTTTATCCTTTTATTATTTTCATTTATGTTCTTTAACTTATTAGTATTTAAAAAGAATAGTAATAATATATATGGGTCCACCCTAACCCCCTCCTTAGTACTTAACTTTCAGGAAAGAGTTAAAAAAAAAAAAGAAATAAAAATGAAATATACAGATTACACCAAATCATCATAAGGACCATTCGTGTAATTTACTTTCTTTTTCCTCTTTGCAAGTAACCAATGGTAAATCAAAAACCAAAAATGGAACAATGCAATTGCATATAAGTGGTTGTTATACGGAACTCGGGGAACAGACAATCAAGTAGAAAGGTGAAACATATCCCATATGGACAGGTTAGAATAGCTATTTCAAAAAGTATAATGAATTGAAATTTTTATTTTAATATGTTTAGTGACTGAATTTTTTTGTACATGTTGCACCCATAATCTTATAAATTTATTCAATAAATAAAATTTTAATCATCATTTATGGGTTTAACAGATTACCACTTGATGTGACATGTCATGTCGTTGATGACTTGCTTTTTAATTAAACTGATTTGTATATGTTTAGTCACTCCATTTTTTTTTATATATAACTTGAACTTTTTTTAGACATTGGACTAACAATCTTACAAATTACTTAAACAAAAAAAAAAACCATTTCACGTGACACTGCTTGGTTTTAAACTAATGACCTCATGGAAGGGAAGTGGCTGACTCTACTATCAGCCTAATGCGTGTTTTTGTTTTTTAATTGTTGTTGCTAATATAATATATCGTGTATAAGGTCTGGTAATTTTTAAAATAAAACTAAAATAGGTGAGACAAAAATCAAACTAAAGTCGTCGACTCCACTGTTGTATATAATGTATACTCTTGAATGGTGTATAGAATGTATACTCATGTGAAAATATGTATTTATATGTAAAAGTATAGTTTTGAATATAAAAATAAGGGTTTAATGAAATGCATCTTGGCTTGGTGCTAGAGTCATCGCCTCCGTTCTTTGAGGTCATTAGTTCAAAATTGAGGTCATTAGTTCAAAACCAAGTAGTGTCATATTAAAATTAGGCCTGGTAATTGGGTTGGGTTCGGGTTGGCGGGTCAGGGGTTAGCGGGTCAGAATACATTGACCCAACCCAACCCATATAATATATGGGTTGGTGGGTTGGCGGGTCATGGGTTGGCGGGTTGAAAACATCAACCCAACCCATATAACCCGTATAAGTATGTGGGTTCGTGGGTTACTGGGTTAGTGGGTTGAACCCAACCCGTATAACCAATTTAATAAGAAACACATTTTAAAATAAAATAAAAAATACAAATAAAATAAAGTCATAAAGTCTTAAATATTCAACATAAAGTCATAAACATAAAGTCATAAATAGGAGTGACGACGACGAGTGGTGTGCGACAGCCGAAAGACGAGAAGATGAGTGGTGTGCGTGCGACACTCGATGATTCGATGCCTCAATCGAGGGAGACGGTAGACACGGAGTCGTGAGTTTGGAGACTGAAGACTGAATTTCTTTTTGATTAGGGGCTTCTTAGGGGCTAGGTCACGCTAAGTCGACTTGAAGATGTTTTGCAGTTTTGGAATTCGGAAAACGATTAAACGATAATCAAATATTCAAAACTGATAAATAATTAAATATATTTTTTAAACCTTATATATATATATATACACATAATCGGGTTGGCGGGTTGACCCGCGAACCCAAACAGGTAACCCAACCCAACCCATTAAATAAACCGGTTGGCGGGTTGGCGGGTCAAAAATCTCAACCCAAACCCGTTTATTTTCGGGTTAGGTCAGTGTCAGGTTACGAGTTGGGTCGAAGATTGTCACCCCTAATTAAAATGATATTTCTTTTTGAACAAAATTTTGAGATTATTGGTACAATTTGTACAAAAAACATTCAGTGACTAAATGTGTCAAAAAATGTATACAAGCCACTAGCGGTGAGCATGGTGCGGTTTGGTGCGGTTTTTGGCCAAAACCAAACCGAAAACCGCAACTTCGGTTTTTTGAAATTTAGAAGCCACACCGTTCGGTTTTTATGCTGTTCGGTTTTTGCGGTTTTTTTTCGGTTTTTTGCGGTTCAGTTTTTTCTTTGCGGTTTTTTGTCAGTTTTTTTTATTTGGTTTTTGTTTTGCCTTTTTACTAAAACTCAGGTAACTTAACGAGTTACTTTGACTCGGATGAGAAGTATTATTCATTTTCTGAGAAACTTTATGTAGAGATGAGGAGCACCAAAATTTTCATCCCCATCAATGTGCGACTCCTCAAAAATGTAGGTTAAAAGCCATAGACTTGACTCTCTTATATGAAATATGAGAATGATGAATGTTTTATCTCAAATGCAATGGGGATACTCTTATAAGGCTGGAAAAATTAAAGCCCAAATGATATCTTGGTGATGAACCGATATCACCTCTTGGTTTGAAATCAAATGACATAACCATTCATCCAACGTGCTTTCAATGCTTGAATATAATACGAATTAAATATAATATTTGTTTCACATGTATATACGATAATATCAAATAATGTATTCATAAAAATGATGTTATCATCACTAATACTCTTAATATTAAAATGTTAAAAAAATATAATAAACATTATTTGTTATTGTTAATATCTCTATATGTATGCTTAAAAATATACAATAATCATCTGATAAGATAGATATTTATATTTATAGAAATTTTAATTGTCATGAGTTCTTCGTTCTTACAAATATC